CACACACACAGACACACACACAGACACACACACAGACACACACACAGATATCCAAACAAGCACAACTGACACAGGTGATAGAAGAATGAGAGAAAGAGACAGATGGACAGATGAGGTAGAACTTAGTCTGGCTCTGAGGAGCAGCAGAGAGGAGCTGAAGGCTGTGAGGGAGATTAGTGACAGACGTGCCGATCTTTGCAGACAGCGGAAAGCTGGCATTGCCCTTCTCTCCAGACACAGGAGAGCCCCCCCGGGACACCCTACCCCCCTACAACCTCGGCACAGTCAAAATGGACTGAAGGTGGGGAGGAATGAATGGAACAGTCGCCACGGCGACGGGTGACGATTCCTCCTCGTTTCCGTGGCGCCCACCTGCTACCGCAAACCAAATGAAATGAGGTGTTATAGTGACAAGGAGAGGTGATCCAAGAGGAATGGGCAAACCTTTGTAGTGTTTATGTCCCAAACCGAACCGCCCTCCCACTAAGCCCCAACCTCACCAGCTCTTCTAGCTCACATCCTTCCCAGCACACAAACAAACATCCATGTTTGTTTACAATCCACCACCGTTAAAAGAACGTCCAAATAACCTACTGTTTTACACCATGATTCATGAGCCTGGAAGCACTACATAAATCCCAAACGGCTGCATCAAATCATGAATGTAGGAAAGCAGATCTGCAGATAAATTAAACTCTTGACATAAAACAAATGCAAACACATTGTGGGACCATATCATTGTACATTAATCATACAGTGATAAGATGCTGAGCTGGGGGCACCAATGACTGATATTTGACTCTTTGTAGGCGCGCCTCCCCCAACCAATCAGGAGCCTCTGCTGTCATGAATAGACCAATGGGTAAAAAGCAGAGGGGGAGGGAGAGCATGGGGAGGAGGGGTTTCTTGACAACCCAATAATCATTCAGGCAAAGAGCCCTGGTGCGAGTGCACTTATGACGCTAGCTCAATGTCAACCCCCACAGTGCCCTCCACCCCCCAATGGTCACATGACCGGACCGGACCTGCCCTCCCCACCCCACCCCCCCAGATTTGAGGTAGGAGGTGGCTCAGGCAGGAAATGTCAGCAGGGGGGTGGGGGATTGCGGGAAGTGATAGCAGTGAAGGGGGAGTGGGTGTGGGTCGGGGGTTGGGTGGTACGAGCAGCCAGATAAGTGTGTCACTCACTTTGGGTGTGGGGCAGGACGCGGTGGAGAGGCGGGAGGTGGCCTGGGCACGAGGCGACTCCGAAGGCGTGGTGCTGAGAGAGGCCGTGTCCCGAGGCAGCACCTGGACACCCCGGGAGATGATGGAGTCTGGGATCTGCCCCAGCAAAACAAACACACGCAGAAAGGCATCTTTAGAGGATGGAACATATAGAGCAGCGGAGACACAGGAAACTACCATTTAGCTATTTAGCAGAGACGCTTTTATCCAAAGCAAAGTACAACTGAAAGTGGGGTCAGACAGTCCCCGGCGCAGATGGAGGTAAAGGGTCTTGCACAAGGACCCAACGAGGAAATCACTCTGCCGACCCAGGGATTTGAACCACCGACATTCCGACCACGGCCACACCCACTGAGCCACACACCGCTCCATGTCTGGTCATGGTTTGCAGGAGGAAACTGGTCGGCCCCCAAAACAGCGGCTTGGCACAGCTCAGCTTGGGTCATAACAAGCACAGATGGCCTTTGACCTACACGATTTCAATGGATGACTCTCCACGCAGCCAGATTAGCTCTTCCTACTTTCTCTGTCTTTCCTTCCTTCCTTCTTTCTTTCTTTAATTCTGTCTTTCCTCCCAGTACTACCATAAGAGCTTCCGTTAATCTATAACATCACACACTCCTATACTGCTATGCTTTGGGGCAGCAACAGCAGACGGAAGCACTGAGTAAAATAATGTAATGAAAGATGAAAGTAACGGGATTGTAGGGAAACGTAAACGCGACCACAAAGCGCTCAGACACACAGGCCTGTCAAAAATAACATCGGCTGCCACCATGGAGGCTCGACTCAACACAGGAGATTCTTAGGATGAACTGGAACGCAGAACTAGGCCAAGACAAAGACAATAATGGAGCATAATAATGAAGATGATTGGAGCACAACATCGCTGGCTTCCCACCCGCGCCGGGCGGCAAATCATCAGGGCAAACGGCACTTTCACATGCCATTAATTTCTATTCGTGACTAAACATGCCCTGTGATTTTTGTGAAAAAAGAATATGGGTTGGGGTTATTAATAACTATGACTGTGCAGCATCGACGATAACTGGTGGTGTTTACATTTGCATGTTTTAGACACGAAAGTATTCAGGGGCCACTGAACACTGGAACTGCTTCAAAAACAGCAGCAATGAAGACCGAGCGCTCGTGAGACAATTATGAGTGAGGAAACTTGACGGGGGCGGGGCATGAAAATGGGACGACACACAGAGACACCGGCAGCAAAGCCGGTCACAGGTGCAATGTGGGAACTAAGAGGACAGTGAGGACGAGCAGACGAGGTCCCTCAGAGGGGGGTGACAGCCTCCGGCCGGGTGAACTTCAGAGCTAGAGGCGTCCTTCAGCCCCAAAACAGAATCGGTGGCTGTTAATCTTCACGCACAAAGAACCTACTAACCTCCACTCTAAATATAATCACCCGGTTGCAGGCGGTGACTCAACGTCTCAGCATCGCCGCTTCTCCTGCACGCAGCCGGGCTCTCGTTCTTCACTCCTCCCTGACTTCCCATCTCTTCTCCTCTTTCTCTGGCCATCTGTCCACCGCTCCTCCACCCCCCCCCCCCCCCCCCCCCAACCCCCCCTTACGCCCCAAATGAGCCACAAGCTCTCATCCTTGGGCCCTCAGTGGTGCTAAGCTACCAACTGCTGTCAGAACAGCAGAGTCACTCAACACCCCACCGGCCTCTAAAGGCTCCAGCGTGGGCTACACCTGTCTTCACTTAGCCTGGATCTATCCTCATTCCTAGCCAGGCTTTAGCACGCTTTAATGCTGCAGCTCTGCTTGAAAATGTATTATCAGCTATCAGGTTACTATTATTGATTTTGTTGAGGCAATTGTGATATAACAATTTATTATACAGTGACCTGCATGCCGCACGTCTTTCCTATCTACTCAAGCCATACTAGGCAGCCTTGGTTAAGGGGAGCTGACAGGTAAATCAATACAAATAATTACTCTGGTGTTGTCCTTTCGAGGGTCGCAGTGGATGCGATGTTGCCATGGAGACCGCCCACTTGACCGCTGAGGGTACGGAGCATTTGAAGGGCAAGAGGAAGCTTGTTGCACACGGGATACAGGTGTGTGATGTCGGGCTGGGAGAATGACCTCGGAGGGAGGTCCCTGGTTCTTACCAGCTGCGGCGCGTCGTCGCAGACGGAATGACAGGCGTGAGAGGTGAGGCTGAGAATGGACCGCCCACCTTTCGCCATGACGTCGGTGTGCTGTGGGTGTGGCCGTCCACTCTGATGCAGGACATATGAGAAGGACGGGGGGGAAATGGACAAACACATACACACACATTCTCACAGTCACCTAGCAACCGCGGAACCGGACACGTGACAGAGGGGTGGTACAGACAGCATGGATGTGAGAGAAGTACATGATTGGAAGCAGGTGAATGGATATGAATGGGGGGGTACTATGACATCATCAGAATGCGACACGAAGCCTCCCATAGACAGTACGCATGAGTAACATTCAACGGACGTTGTTCCAAGGCCAGTGTCCCCTTCTCTGCTCTCTCTCTCTTTCGTTCACCATGTTCTCCATCTCCTACTCTAGCTCGCTACGTTCTCCCCATACCTTGGCAGCGATGGCAGCAGCGGTGATGTGTGAGGAGGAACTGTCTTCTGTGGAGGCCACGCCACTGTCCTTCTTCTCCTCATCTTCCTCCTCACACTGGACACCCTTGTCCTCGGTCTGCTTGTGCGGGCTGGTGGTGGGCGGTGGGGACAGGGGCGGCGGGGGCGAGGGCAGGTCCTCCAGCTCGTCGTGCACCTCCTTCACCTTGACGATGGCATCGCGCAGCAGGTCGATGGCGTGGGGCAGCGCGGGCAGAATGAACTGGAAACACTCCTGTGGGAGGCGAAGGGTGAAGGTGGGCAGAGGGCGGCCTGGCAGCCCGAGGGCGCAGGCATGTGACACAGACAGCAGGGGGCCTAGCAACCGCGGAACCGGACACGTGACAGAGGGGTGGTACAGAGCAGCAGGGGGCCTAGCAACCGCGGAACCGGACACGTGACAGAGGGGTGGTACAGACAGCAGGGGGCCTAGCAACCACGGAACCGGACATGTGACAGAGGGGTGGTACGGAGCAGCAGGGGGCCTAGCAACCGCGGAACCGGACACGTGACAGAGGGGTGACACAGAGCAGCAGGGGGTCTAGCAACCGAGGAACCGGACATGTGACCGGAGCTGCAGTTTCTATTCCCACAGGAGACCTTGCTGCTGTACCCATAATGAGGGATCTGCCGCAATTCAACTAATTCCCCTGCTAACCTTTAGGACAGCAGTGTCAACTTACTGATCCAGCTATCTACTGTTCATCTGCCTGATACTGACTACTGCTGCAATACTAAGGGTATTTTCTGTGTTTAATTAGCGTATCGTGTTTATGGCCATGTAAACATTCGGGGATTTCCCTCGGGGTTTATGCTAGTTTCTACATGCACACAGAAGTGCGGAGAAGTTGCAATCTTTCCCTAAACAGTGAAATCACACCATGGGCAAACAGAACATCTAAATGAAGACAACAAAACAAGAATAATGTTGCTCCTTATTTTTACAGTGCTAACAACATAATCACCTACTGCAATAATAATCGAATGTATCTAAAGTACATCTAAGGTAAACATCAGCTAATTCTATTTTTCTGATTAATCAAAAAAGCCATTTTATGATGCTTTGAGTATCACATGCACCATTGCCGTAGATAGATAAAACACTTCAGATCTGGAAATGACCCTGAAATTTTGCAGCCAAACAAGGGTTGTTGACTTTGTGCTCTTATGCAATCCACACCTGAAACTAGAGGGCCACAAAAACACGCAAAGTGAATCCATGACTGCACTCCTCTCAGTCTGCCCACGCAGAGATCACCCAGAACATCCCAGATACGGCAGCGACTAACTGTGCTCCCTTATTCGGGGTCGTCCTGTCCTAAAAGACCCATGTCTCCAAGGAGGACAAAGATCAACCGGTCACATGCATCTAGACCAGGGGCTCTCAAACATGATTCACAGTGAGAGCTACAGTCCTTTTACAAAGAAAATAATCTGGGGAGATACGTGTTTGATACAAGATTATATAAAATGTTGGGTGGGGGGAACACACATATAATCAAAATAAAAATTACACAAGATATAACATAATTGATCGTATTTCTAAAAGGTTTTAAATGAGTTATTGATTGGGCCTGTATGTGCTACTAGCAGCCTGTAGGGGGCCGGTGAGCACAGACACACAAACACAGGTGACATTAGTAACCACTGACCTAACCAGAGCAACATGCCTGGTGTTATCTGATCAACGTTACAGGCAGAATCAAAGACGGTGCTGTTTTCATCTCCCACCCCTTCGGCTACAGCTCTCAGCATGAAACTAGGGATTCCTAAGTGGTGTTCCAGCATTTCTGTAAGACTAAAATGAACGAGGCCGTCTGCAGCGACGCGTGCGAGATTCCTGCGACGTGGGTCTCCCCTGCGGCGGCCGAACGCCGGCAAGCTTCGCCAGAGGAGACCACTGGACGAACCTGGCTGGACCAGCCAGGCCAGCAGACCTTCACGGTCTAACCACCTTGTGCCAGGTTGCTGCCTTCAAACTACCGCAGCGGGATGTTCTGTCTTTCGCAGGGGCTGATGGGTAACGGAGACTAACGCGACATTATCACCGCTGGAATGAAACTCTCGCAAAAGTCTAAGATAAGATGCCAATGATATCAGTTCCTGCATTTTTAAAAACAAAGACATTCAATATGGAAGAAACTAATAACTAATCAGCAAAACTGCACACAAAACACTTTTATCATGACAGCTCTTAAATGAGGGAGCAGCACTCAGTTTTACAAATATATTTTTACCCCAAACAGATGGGCAGCCTTCCACCCTGAAGCTCCTCTTACCTGTGAGCCTTTCTTGCTGCCAGGAAGGTTTATGATGAGAGTCTTTCCTCTGATGCCACAAACGGGCCTGTGAGTGCACACACACACACACACACACACACACACACACACACACACACACACACACACACACAC